ATGGGGCAGACCCTGTGATTAACAGATGGCAGCCTGGTTGTTCTGGTGTTGCTTACTTCTTCCTAAAAACACATTGTTTTCTATATACAGGGTGTATAGTGTACCACAGGGTGTATAGTGTAGAGCATAAGAAATTGCTGCAGTTAAGATGTGGCTTCATAGTCTTAAATTATACTAAACTTAAATGTAAAACTACTGAGTTGCACTAGCTCCATTTCAAGTCTCTCCACTATAATCATTTGTAGAATCAGTCAGTTATACATTGGAAAAGCATGATCGCAATCTCCTGATCAAAATCACTCAGGACCAGTGATGTAGAAGAGCATGTATGAGACCCTGGGGTCGAATCCTAACACACCAAAATCCATGATGGGTTACTATTGGTTGATTTGTTCCCCTAGGTGTCTCATGGATTCATAAGAACAGTCCTCACAAGGCTTGGTCTAGAGTTCATGACTCCAAATCCTCCTCAGGGGTGGAGCCAGCGTGGTTCTCAGAGCAGGTCTGGTTTATCCTGGGAGGAGGAATGGGGCTGCATTAGCCACTCTAGAGAGGAGCCAAGAGCCCTCTGCTTTCTGCCATCCCATCCCCACGATTTCCTTTATCCTTACAGGCTCCTCCTCAACTCTGGACCCTCCTGCCTTTTCAAAAGTAATGTCTGGTCTGGACATATCCTGGCATCTCAGTCCCAAGATCTTCCCTATTTCTGCCTGGCTTCTCTTCTAAACTCTAGTAACCTCCAATATGACAATAGAAATTGGAAATATTCACTCAGGATAAGAACTGAGTATTAAAATCAGGTAAAGGAATATACAGGATAACTTTTCAGTATCTGTGTTCCAAATCATAATGCTCCAAAGTGAAAAAAGATAGAGGAGCAAGAGAGGGAAATGTGAATTTCATAGAAGCAGCATAGGGTGGGGGGGGGTCAAGAGGGAAAAATAAAAAAAGGGAAAAAAGACTCTGATCACCTGTTAGTCATTTCTCTTCAACTAGCTGACCATTGTATTAGGAAAATGAACACTTTGTTTTTCACGTTGTTGTTTGAGACTTCCCCTTTAGGGAAAAGCCCGAGGTCTGAATAGTCCCCTGGGTAAAACAGACCCCCCCCCCCCCCACACACACACACACATACCCTACACTGCTCCTATGACAATCACATTTCTCTCTCTTTCTCTATTCTCTTTCTTTCTTTTGGGCATTATGATTTGCAACACAGATACTGAAAAGTTACTATGTAGATTATATCTGAGAGTACACAACCAGGCACATAGAAATGGACACAAACAGCATAAGTGTACCTGAAAATGATAGATTAAACCGTTTAGCGTCTTTGAATTGTAGAGGGCACCATAGGCGAAGGAGAGAGAGGGAAAGAAAGACAGAGACAGATACAGAGACAGACTTGATGCTTGAAAGTTCCTGCTGATTGGCTCTGTGACAGTCCAGCCTCTGCCTCTTCATTGAACGTGAAGATACTCCCTGTCCTTAATGCCTCTCGCAAACAATGGCTCACAAGTTGGGACCCAGGTTGATGATGACATTGCATTGAATATGTGGCTTCCTGTGTGCTCCCCGAGAGTGCCCAGGTCACAGAAATTTTGTACAGTCCTTGTATGTGTGTTTATTTATCGCTTGTTTGTCTATTTGTTTCAATTGTCAGCAAGTGACACCGATGGACTGAGGTTAAAGGTGAAAATTTGATTGGCTTCAGCGAGGTACATTTTTGTATAGTCCGCCTTGCTGACAGATTTTACAGTATCTGTTCTAAAGACTTGGGGAAAGTCTCTCTAAATCGCAGCAGCACAGAGATCATCATCAGCTGAAACCTATTAAGTTGCTGTATCAAATGATGGCCACAAGATGGAAGACAAATCCCATACATGACAAGAGAGACCCTGAATCCTAGAAACCCTGAGACTTTAACAGGTCCATTGTCAGCAGGAACAAGGCTGTGGTGGGAAAGTGTGAAAGCTGTTAGAGTCTGAGTTGTAGCCAAATTTTCGCCCTTTCCTGCGGTGGGGATAGAAGTCCCGTCCTGCCTCTCTGCTGTGAACTTTTGATCCCCCATCTAGTGCTCATAATTTGACTTTAGTTCTCTGTGATGTTTCAGAGGTAGAGCTGTAGAGTCACTTAAGGTAAAATGAGATCACAGGAGAGGTATTAGATGGGAGCTTAGGGACACCAGGGAACACAGCCACCACCCCACTCGACACCACTGCAGTCCCCACAGGCACAAATTCCAAGAGAGGCTTGTGAGGACAAGGGGACAAAGGGGCTCCTGCTGACAGGAGGAGTTTTTCACAGGAAGTGACCCTGAGGGACCTTGACCTTCACTCTCCAGCCTCCCAGAGTGAGAGAATCCCGTGTGTGTGTGTGTGTGTGTGTGTGTGTGTGTGTGTGTGTGTGTGTGATGTGAGTCCCCAGCCTGTGTGTTCCTGTGAGGGAGCCTGAGCAGATGCCTCACTCCTGGCACCCTCTGAGCAGGGTCCGGCTCAGGGACACCCAGTGAAGATGACCTGAGGCAACTTTTCTTTTTCTTCTCTTTTAACTGTTGAGGAGAACTCGGAAATCATTTTCACCTTGTCAGGCAATTGAAGGAACTATCACCTTGATAGTTGTGTTTTGGGTGTCCTTATGTGGCTCCACTCAGATATCATGGGGAACACAATGCCACCCACCTCCAGTCCCCCTGGCTGTTCCAGGAGAAGGTCAGTGTCCCTGCAGGCTAATATGAGTGTTCAGAGCATCTGAGACTGAATCTAGCTCTGAAGCTTCTGCTCAGCCCATTCCCCCTGAGGCTCTGCAATATGGTGACAGCTGCTCTGTCCCCTCCTCACCATCAGAGGAAGCTGCCACAGAAGCTCAGACAATCCCCCATCTGCTGCTCCTGTGGTGGAATGCAGTCTTAGGGCCTCTGGTGATGATAGGATTGTGTGAACACTCTGAAGTCTCATCCTCCTTCTCCCCCAACCCTTCCCCTGACCATCATAACCACCTCAGGGCAACTCCTCAGGAGCAAACAGTGCAGGCAAAAGGGTGTGTCTGATCTGAGCTGCTCTTCTGAGTACACGCACCCAATTCTCCCAGCATTATTCTCCTCTGCTGTCCTTTGTAACTGAGGTTTCTTTTTCTCACATCCTGTCACTAGCAACACTTATTATACCCTGTCTCAGAGAATCCCTGTGCAGAATAGTCATCTGGTAAAGTGAGCTGATGGGAATCACAGAGCAGGAATTGGTTTGAAGTTTGTTCATGGGACCACCAGTGGTCCAGTGAAAGCAGAACCCTGGAAGCCTTAAAAATCAATGGTGATTTGCAGTGTGTGTGGGGAGGGGTGGGGTGAGATCTCTCCTGCTGAGTCAGGTGTGAGGTCTCAAATGGCTCTGGAGGGTCCTGTTAGGGTTCCTGCAGAACTTGAGGCTCCCTTTGCTTCACCTGTCTGACAGAAGTACCGGGGGAGGCCCAAGTCACAGGCTGATCACTGGGAGGAAACCCATCTCCACTAGACTCCATGATCACTGTAGGGCTCCCCTGGGACCTTCTGTGCTACCTTCCATGAATCTCTGACTCTGCCCAGGACTCTGGAATTCTCAGAACTAGAACTCTACCAACTGAGCCAGCAGTTTATGGAGGAGGGTCCACAGATATCATGAAGCTTAAATTCAATGATGTGGAGGACCATTGGATTTTCAACCTTTTGCTGGTTTTCACTCCCGGGGGCATTCTAATGAATGAAGAAACAGTGACCGAATGGGGGTGGGGAGGTGGGATTGGGGACATCACCACAAGGGTCTACACTGACTCATCTCACCCAGCAGTCTATCCTCACCAGCTCATTGGGGTATTAGCCCCTGTCAGGGCCTAGATGCTAGGTTGGACACTAACTCGTGCCCTCTTTGATGCCCACTTTTAAGAAATGAGCATCATTTCTCTGTATTGTTGTACCTTAACCTTACTTGAGTCTCATTGCCCTGCACTTGGGCTTGCTAAGAGTTGCCCGAAAATTAGAAGAGCTGTGTGGAAAGATAGTACAGCGGGTAGGGTGTTTTCTTGCATGTGTCCAATGCAGTTTCAATCCTTGTCCCATAGACTACCACACACCTTCACCACCGAACCTTGTCAGGAGTGATTCCAGAGCATAGTGCCAGCAGTAAGCCCAGAGAATTGCTAGGTGTGATCCAAAAACAAAACAAACAAACAAAAAACCAAGAAAAGGAGATGTGTGATATAGGATGTGGGCTGAAGGAGAACAATGCATTCAAGAGGAATTTGGTGAAGGCAATTAATCCCATCTATCCCTTCTGGACTCATTTCCATCTGGTCAGCTCAGAAGGGAATCTTTCAGGGAAAGAGGGACTGAAAAACATAGAAGAATGTCCAAAGAGTAGAGTGTATGTTGGTGGTACTCAGAAGGCAGAGATCGTTTCTAAATGTGGAGAACAAACCCCACAATCTGAGTCTGAGGTGGAAGTGGTGAGACTGTGTCTCAGGAATGTATTTGGACAAGGTGTGCTAACCATGACTGCAGAGTTTTTCTGCTGTTTACATACAACATTTTCACTTGGTTGTGATGACATCTCTAAAACCAATAATACCAGGATATCAAATCTAAATGGAAGATTCCATGCCCTCAGTTTGATCCAGAGATGTGACTTTGAAGGAGTCTACAATTCATGAGAGTGTCTGTATACTGTGGTCTAACAAAGCCTGGCCCTCGGCAGAGACAGTAAGAAGCTGTGTCCTGACTCTCAGGAAACCAGGGACCTGCCCTTCTGTGCTCACACTGGGGCCCTCCTGGGGCCAGGGGAGGAGCATGTTCTCTGTGGGCAAAGTTCTGCTTCCCCACAGGGACCCACACCCCTGACTTCCCTGCAGCTGGGCTGGGTCCCACACACACCCTCCCCCCTCTGCCTGCCCAGCCTACCCAGCCCCCTCTCATTTGCAAGTGCTCAGAGCTCATGCCTGCACACTCAATAATAGTCTGTGTCACCCTGCAGGGTCAGTGTCTGTCACTCGCAGAGTGGACATGAGGGCCCTTGTGCAGCTCCTCAGCTTCCTGCTGCTCTGGCTCCCGGGTAAGGAGGAAAATGAGGGTTTACATGAATATGGACTACCTGGGTCTTTAGGGAAATTATCTAACTTGTGATTAATGATAATTCTGTCCACTTATATTTTTATCTCAGGCGCCAGGTGTGATATCCAGATGACCCAGCCTCCATCCATGTCTGCATCTCTGGGAGACAAAGTCACCATCACCTGCAAGGCCAGTCAGAGCATTGGCAGTTATTTAGCCTGGTATCAGCAGAAATCAGAGAAAGCTCCCAGGCTTCTGATCTACACGGCAACCAACTTAGGACCAGACGTTCCTCCCCGGTTCAGTGGCAGTGGATCTGGGACAGATTTCACTCTCACCATCAGCAGCCTGAAACCTGAGGACGTTGCCACTTATTATTGTCTACGGCATAATGCTTACCCTCTCACAGTGATACACGCCAGCACATAAACCCCCAGAGTTCAGCTGTGTGAGGCTGGGCTGCCCCAGCTGCTCCCCCTGGTGCCTCCACTGCAGAGGGTGTGTCAGATGCAGCCAGGCTGTGAAGGCAGAGAATGCTCTGGTACAAGTAGAATTAAGAATTTTGTCTGCATTATTTCTCCCTATCATTCCAGCAGCACTGGCATGACAATAGATCTGCTGATTTTATTTACTGAAATTATTTTCTCTCAAGAGTTAGCCGACAGGTCAGAGTTCATGCAGGAAAAATCACTTTAGATGGTCCAGAAACTGTTGTTTCAATAGATATTTTAAAAGCATAATGGAAATTTTCCCACATCAAAGTGTGATGGATTCTTACTGGAGCATTCTCACGTGACCAATAAGAATTTTCTGATGTGGACTGAGGGGGGAAACGGCATCTTGCCAGGGCCTTGTGAGAGACAGAGATGTGCTCCCTTGATTGGGGACATTGGAGACTAAACTGCCACTGGAAAAAAAGGCCAACTTTAATGACAGGAACACTGGTGTTTTAAAATCAACATCTTTGAGTATGAAATGTAGTTTATTTCCCATTAAATACAATGAAGGTTTGAAGGAAATACAGGCAAGCGAGAGATCATACAAAAGAATAAACTTTCAATATTGTGTATTAAGCCCAAAGTCTTGCTTTCTTGTCCTGAAGGGAAGATGCCCAAAATCACAATAACTGAACTTCCCTAAATGAACTTCCCTAAATGCTCAGGCTCTAAAAATTCTCAGTGAATATAAATGGGATGGGAGAAATCATTGTTATCTAAGGAAATTCCTTGTTAGCGATAAAATTTTCAACTCCAATAGGCCACAAATCCATAATTTCTGGCAAAATTAATTCTGAATTTAATACATCAATTCAAAGATTCAATATAAGGTGACATCCAAGAATAAAACTTGTACATCCTTTAAAAAGACTAGAGTCCCGATCTTCAACCCATATTTTGTTTTTCCATCCCTGTAAACCCAGACATACAATAGAAAGTCTTTGCCAAACTGGTCCCAGCCTGTGGACAGAACAACCCTGGGCCATGGAGTTGCTGCTCCCTGAACACAGGCTCTGAGTCTCCAAGATCCTGGGCTCTGGCTCCAGCTGAGAACGGAGATGTGGGGGCTTAAGGGCAGGTGCCTGTGACCTGGGCACTGAGATGAGACCTTGGCTCAGCACGTGCAGTGTCACAGCCATGACTGCTCTCGCACATCAATGGCTTTGGGGACACAATCAACACAGGGACACCCTGGAGTTCAGTCTTTGTGTCTGGGTTCTAGTGCAGCCTGTGGGCCCAACATCCAGCTTCCCACAGGGACTCAACAGAATCTTCATACGTGTCCAACAGCAGCAGAAATCTGGAAAGTTTCCAGAGATCTGCCACATGTAACATTCACACTGATAGGTGTATCAGACACAATTGGCTGAAGGGAACAGGAATATCTATATCACCTGTTGTCCCGGTGATGTGGCTGGGTTTTACTACCTAAAACCTCACCTTTATTTTGATTAATCAGTGGAAAGACTTTAATTGGGCCAAACTAATACTTTGAAGTGAAATCAAACAAGCTACTAAGTTGTTCAGGGAAGAACTTTCTTTTGAAGTACCAAAAGCCATTTCTGAAAACATTTATAGATAAGTTCACATCAAAAACAAAAAAAAATCCAGAACCAGGAACACACATAAGTAAATGAGCTGGAGCACATGTTTTTCATGTCTGAGCCCCTGGGCTAGATTAGTGATGCCAACAAATTAAACAGTGCTATTGGGCACTAATGGTTGAAATATCACACTGGTTTTCAAAGCAGCCATGAGGAAAGACCTCACCAGTCATATCCATAGGCTGATGGCTTCTGAGGCTGCCTCACTGGTGCAGCAGCTGTGGGTCTCAGAGTGAGTCTGGATAGTTCTGGAAGGAGGCATGGAGATAGATTGACAAGACAACCTGAGGAGTCAGGAGCCCTCTGTTCCCTGACACAACTCCACTGCTCACCTGGCATTTCACCTGCAGCTTCCTCTTCCTTCCTGAAGAATTTTCTGAAATTAGGTCCATGACATGTGAGGATGAAAAAAACTAGCACTTAGCTCCTGGTGACACACATCCCTCTTGAATTCCTGATCCCCTATTCATGGTTACTTCACAGTTATCTGAGCATTTTATTATAAAGAGAAATCATTTTTTGCTTTGAGCTTACAGATTGGCCTTGTGTTGTGTATGTGTTTCGAAGACTGACATAAAAAGTAACTCTTGATTCACTAGGACCAGCATCTGAAATCATTTTAGCAGCCGTATCAGAAAACAACCACTAGATGGGAGACAGACCCCATAACTGCACATGCAGGGAACCTGGATCTTTAAAGCACCGGGACAGTAACTGAGCTAGTGTTCCACTCTCAACAGGGACAGTGGGTCCTGTGGGATTGATGGTAAATGTATGGAAGTAGCTGTCAGAGGCTGAGTTTTATGCAAATTATCATGTTCCTGCAGTGTGGGCAGAAGTCCAGTATTACCTGTCTGCTGGAATCATTATTGGAGTTACCCCTTCTCCACATCTCCCCAGTTTATATTGTGACATTATTTCATCATGACTGTAGACAAGGAAGATAAACTATCACTTATTGTAAAGTCACAGGAGGGAGGATAACAAGACAGTATAAAGAGACACAAGGAACCCCCTTTATCCCCACATGCACTGCCCTTGGAGAAGGCTGTGAGGACAAGGGAAGAAAGGGGCTCCTGCTGACAGGAGAAAGGTCTCAGGGGAAGGGATTTTGTAGGACATTGACCTTCACTCTGCAGCGTCCCAAAGTTGAGAATTCCATGTTTGCCGTGTGAGCCCCTGACCTGCATGTTCCTGTGAGGAAGCCTGAGATGATATTTTACACCCCCGGACCCTGAGAGCAGGGCTGCCTCAGGGGCACCTCAGATAAGGGGGGATCCCATTACCTCTCTACCCTGTATTCTGCCTGCTCAGGCTTCATGCTCTGCCGATTTGTTGAGCCTAACCTTGCCTTTAGGGTGAAGATGTTGTTGTTCTTGTTTTGATCAGAAAGACGTAAAGCCAAATGGTCCTAGAACGGAATTTCTCAGCCAGATGTCTGAGTATTTTTCAAAGTGACCATCGGTTCCTATGAGCAGGACATGAGTGGCTTCCAAGTAAATAAATGTTTTAGATAATATTTTGTTTTCTTTGGGGTCACACTAGCAGTGCTCAGGGTTTACTGTGTGTTTTTTTCCCCATCACTGATAACTCCCTCCTGAACAAACTTGGGGTAGAGGTTCATGGGGGTCTGGTTTGGTCTGTCGGGTGCTGAACTCAGTGCTGTGGGACCATAGGATATTGCAGGAGAACATGGTTTGCAGTTTCAGGGACTGCCCCCAGAGTGAAAGAACAGTGATGTTAATGGGGTGGTGGGACGGCCCCCTTAGGAACCCGGATGCTGACTCACACCTCACGGATTTCTGCCAGAGCCCAGAGTGACAGTTCTCCTTGTTCATGCATGAGTCGTATCTTTACCCCACATTCAATGCTTCACACCAGATGGCACCCTGCACCCCATAGAGGTGTTTGTTTAGTGTCTGTGAACCCCGTATGCTGTGAGGGGGCAGCCATTGGCTGCTATTTAGTGTTATCACCTCAATCTTCTCAAGACACTAAGTCTTTCATCTGGTGTCTGAGGGCTGCTGTGTCTTTGGAGTAACACAAGGTTTTCGAACAAGGGATGCACCAGTGATGAAACAGAGGATATGTTTTGGTCAAGTTGTACTATCTCAGCCACCACATCTGAATACATTTTCAACTGGCCAGCTTAGGGGAAGAGGATGAAAGATAGGAAGAGAGTTCAAGGATGTCAAGGAATATTCAGGTCTGTGTCAGGAATTACAGCTGGAAAAGAAACAAGTGTTTCAAGGCGAAGAAATAAAGTTTCTGCTATTACGTTGACTTGGAAGTAATGGACTAGTTTCTCAGGTGCAAGATAGGGAGATGAGACGAGTGGGTTGTGCTGTTAGATATTCTTTATCTTAGTCCTCATTTATAACTCAAGACCCCAAATGTTTATACAATACTTTTTTCATTCATTGCATTCCTCTCTGCTAATAATAATAATTTCTTACACAAAATAATACAGTGATCGGTGAGGGAGATTGACCATCAGGTGGCAAGTGCTGGGGTTCACATGTGAGCACAGGACCCACATCACCCAGAACACTCGTAGACAAAGGCCTGATGTCAGTTCCAGCACTGCAGCATCACAATACCCTGCATCCTGCTTTCCGGCATTGAAATGCTGATTCCTATAGCTACATAATGATCAGAGTGATCATCAGGTTCTCTGAGCATTGACAAAGAGTCCTCCTCCACCTATCAAATTGAAAAATATAACATTTTACTCCTTTTACAAAGTGCAGTAAAGTATAATGCAATTCCAAAGCAAACAGAAAACATCCCTTGCCTCAAATTTATCCACAGATGAGAAATCAAAGGAACTTGTACAGTTCCTAAGGAAGTCTAAAAAGTGAATTCTGACAAAGCCTGCCTCTGGGGTAGAAAAAGTAAAAAGCTGTGTCCTGACACAGGATTCCAGGGACCCGCCTTTCTGTGCTCACACTGGGGCCCACCTGGGGCCAGGGAGGAGCATGTTCTCTGTGGGCAAAGTTTTGCTTCCCCACAGGGACCCACAGGGACCCTTGACTTCCATGCAGCTGGGCTGGTCCTCACACTCACCCTCCCCTATCTGCCTGCCCAGCCTGCCCAGCCCCCTCTCATTTGCAAGTCCTCAGAGCCCGTGCCTGGACACTCAATAATAGTCTGTGTCACCCTGCAGGGTCAGTGTCTGTCACACCCAGAGTGGATATGAGGGCCCCTGTGCTGCTCCTCAGCATCCTGCTGCTCTGGCTCCCAGGTAAGGAGGGAAACGAGGGTTTACTGGACTTCAGGGAGGATAATATAAAGTAAGATGAATGGCCACAGCATGTCTTTATATTTT